TTTGGAGAGATCCTGACCTTAATGACAGGATCTACCCAGCTGCCTGGACCTCCCCTCACAGCATGGTGCTCTAGTGAGAGCTGGAGGGGGAGAGCAGAGATCCAGTGACTGACAGTCAAGAGCTTTCTACTCACTGAAGACTGAGAACTGGGAAATCAGCTGACATTGATCACTCAGTTCTCAGTCTTAGAAGCTGTGGGGGGGACAGATGCAGTATCAGACTTATGTTGAATCACCTAGGTGAGTATGATTGTTTTTGTTTACAATGTTACAGTCCCAAACTTCTCTTTTAACCGCTTCCCATCCTCCCTATATCAGAAATACTGCTACAGGGCAACATGAGTGCACAAAATCACGTATATATATATGCGATTCCGGTATTTACGCGTAGGAGGCAAGCACGAGCGCATCCTACCCACACCGCCATTACTTGTCGGCGCCCGGTGATTTCCGAAGATCTCTGACCGGGAGGAGGACTGTTTTGTTTACTAACAGTCCTCCTCCCTGTCAGCTTGGGCACACTGCTTTGGATGGCTGTGCACAGCACAGCCATGCATAGCAGTGTGGTTACAGTCATGCACACTGATACAGCCCCCTAGTAAAACAATCCCTACACAGAACCCTTTATTCACTCATCATGTTAACCCCTTCCTGCCCAGTGCCATTAGTACAGTGTCAGTGCTTTTTTTTTTTTAGCACTGATCACTGTGTTGGTGTCACTGGGGATGTCAATGACACCAAGTCAGTTCCCTCCAGAGTCAGAATGTCCCTCTATAAGTCGCTGATCACCACCATAACTAGTAAACATTAAAAAAAAATTATAGTATATATACCGCCATTTGTAAAACACTAACTTTCACGTAAACCAATTTACATGTATTGGGATTTTTGTTTAGCAAAGACATGTAGCAGAATACAATTTGGTATAAATTTATGACAAAATTTTAATTTAAAAATTTTTTTTACTGGACATGTTTAATAGCAAAAAGTAAAAAAAAATTTCTCTCAAAATTGTAGGCCTTTTTTTTTTAATAGCGCAAAAAATAAAAGACACACAGGTGATCAAATACTACTGAAAGAAAGCTCAATTCGTGGGGGAAAGATTACGTAAATTTCATTTGGGTGCAGCATTGCATGACCGCGTCAGAGCCCTAACGCAAAAAATGGCCTGGCCAGGAAGGGGGGGTAAATCCTCAGGAGGGCAAATGATTAAAGAGATATCCTTTAGGATCCAGGAGATGAGGAGTGGAGGAGTACTCTAGAAGAGGTGGTAAGGGACCACTTTGCGCAATACCCTTACATACAGCAGGTTAATATAACATTATTATTATAGCCTTTACCACAGCTTTAGGGAAGCAGGCTTTTATTGAAAGAAGTCAAAAGAAAAAGTAAAATCTTTATGGCACAATACATTTTGGACCCCTATTTAGACCATTGTCCAGAGTTTTGAATGACTTTCCATTCCCATTCCATTCTCTCTTCCCATGACTTGAAGTTCCTCATCAGTACCATTATTTTGCTGTGATGTCTGCTGCAGAAGTTGGCTGCTATAGTTGTTGGTAATTATTAATTGTAAATCTATGAAGGCTCATTCATTGGTGAAGGGCTCGACCCATCCCCCTAACAGAGTCCTGTAAGGCATTCTGCAAACAATATCAGGTATACCGCAACTGGGGATCTACAGCAGAAGTTACCCTGTGTTGTGTACTCCTGCTGTGATCCTACTGCTGGTACACTATTGGTGGTGTGGGTATGTTTGCAGGTCCCATATCTTTTCTGCATGCAGAAAGATGCTTCATCTTGTATTGGAATTTCTCACAATAAGTTATCTTAGAGTGGGTGTTTGACAATATGATAGTAGATGTTATCTCTCATCTTTGTGCAGTGGAGGCTGGAGCTCTTTTGTGAGATTTCTTGGAGCTCTAGGAATGTATTGTAGGTGACAACCAGAGGAATCCAATTTCATTTTTGTCCATAGTATAAAAGATATAATATGGGGATATTAATTGCTTCCCTGAACTGTGTGTTTGTTATCAGATTTTATCTCTTTTATGAACTCCCACATGACATTAGGATTCTTTGCAAGGGAATTTTGCCGATACCCCATCATTCAACATGGCATTATCCTACATGGGGTCTTGTTAAGAAATGGCTGGATCCACCTCAGGAAAGGCCCATACCAAAGAAAACTTTCCCCAATAGGATATTGGTGAGTGAAACATTTGGAAGGATCATAATCTTCTCTTGCATACAGGACCAGCTCAACCAGAACATGGACCGGGAAGGTCTTAGCTGATGTAGGGAATTTTAGAGACCCCATATTTGATATCTTTGGGCAAGCAGACTCTGGCTGCTCCAAAGCTAAACCAGAGCATACAGCTTCAATAAGCATAGCAGTATTCTTTCAACACATGAGAAATGTCTACAGCAGATGTATCTTCCTGACCTGATTCCTCAGAATGTAAGGAAACTTCTTCAGCTGATACCTCCACCTCCTGCACTGTGACTGCCTCTAGGCTAAAGTCAAAGGCTGACTTAGGAGGGGAGATTGAAGGGACAAGACCATGGCCTCTGCGGTCAAAGCCCAGCATTCAGCCCATGATCTCTGACATTGTGGCAGACAATAACTCTATAGAATGAATGGATGAGCCTGGCAACAGCCTGTCCAAATGAGAACTGCACAGGAATACTACAGTCACCAAGGGAGTTAAAGGCTGAGACAGAGCTAATGAGCCTGTCTGACCCTATATCTCTGTGCTTATGGTCCTGCATGCCCATAAAATATCCCCATAGGGATAATCTTGACCTATGTAGCAGTGTCAAAGAATGGGGGATGCTTAGGTGCAACCACTTGTAGGTTGCTATAAGCCAGGTTCCACAAGTGTCACTGCTCCAATGTGCTCTCAGGTAGAAGAAACAGGAGATGTTGCTCAGCTGGCATCCCATTTCTAAAAAGAAAGTGGCAGGGAGAGCAAACACTAGATTCACCTGAGGATGTGTTAGTGCATGCTCAGCACACACTTCAGGCTGCGCAGGTGAAGTAGTGCACAATTTGCACAGGTACAATACCTATTCATGCAGGTGCAATAGCATCCACTTGAGCTGGCGCAGAACTGTCTCTACAGAGGGAGACCACAGTGACACCAGAAACCCTTCAGTAATACAACTAAATGATGTCAAAGCATAATTAACCTCGTCCAAGCCATCGGAAGGGTGAACAATGGTTTGTATGTCACCCCAAAAGGGAAATTACTGGGCACGCTGGTGTGAATGTTTAAAACACTTCAGCCATGTCAGTAGCAGGAGTAAATGGGAACTAACCTGTGTCTAAATCCATGTATTGCACTACATACCTAGCTAGGGGAGTGCCCACAGAAGGACTGAGTGCAACACAGCATTACAGACCAGCCCTGCAGCTTCTAACAGTAAGAATCTGTGTACAGCCCACAAATCTACACCAAGTAGTGCACCAATTCGGAATCTGCATTAGGAACCAGAGTGGCTATTGTGCAGTCATGTGATAAAGGAACCATTTGGAAAGAATATATCCAGGAAAAAAAAGAGCGAGAACCCTCCACAGAAAAAGGTAAGCTTCTATCAGTACAGAGAAGAGGTCCATCACCTAAGAACATTATAAAAAACTAAGGCTAGCTGAGAGCCAAATGAGTTATTATAGTGGGTGTCCCGCTGCCTTTCAGTTTGCAGCTAAAATTATACATTGCACTATGTGCCAAGGGGAGCACCCACAGCAGGACCTAGTGCAAAGCAGCATTACAGGCTGGCTCTGCATCTTATACAAGGTCGGGTCCAGATCTGAAAGTCTAGCCCACTGATACAAAAGTTGCATTAAGTGCCTCAGTGGCTACAATGCATCTGTGTGACTGTTGGAAAGAAGGGTTATGGTGAGAAGACACTGCTGATATGGTTTTGATCAAACTATGCAGCATAGTAGGATCTGTAATTACAAGGGTGAACTCCATCTAAAATATATTTCACTTTTGCATGGTTGCTAGTAAAATCTAAATCATGTGCTGACAATATTGCTCAAAGTGGAATATTGCCACCAGAATTTGCACATTCATTGATATGTCAAGGCCATTAAAATGACAATGTCACATTCTCCCAATGGAAACTTCATAACACGGACTTGAGAAAAAATTTTGAAGACTAGTCGCAGTAAGGTATTGACTTTATTATGGCCTCCGGGGGTGGGCTGGGGGTGATCCTGGATAGTACAAACTACAGTAAGGAAATACTGCCATCAGTATTCATACAATTCTGCAGTGGCACATCCCATATCTCTGTCCTGACAGGTTCTTATGAAGTATCTGGAACTGATATTTACAGATCATAAGAAGGCTTACACTTTTTGAGGGACTTTGACTTGAAGATATTGCCACAGATTATTATCCCACTTAGGTGGTCTTTCGTGTTTTTAATCAGTAGTAAATTAAACTAGTAGTAGTTTAAATATCTGAATTGTAGAATCTTTTGAGAATTTATTGTCCATTACTTGCACTTTGACCATGTAAAGTATATATCCCTTTTACGTCACGATTAAGTGGATGGCACAGAGTTTGAATGTTACCAAACTTTTAAACTCTGATTAGGATAAAGAATGTTATTATATGACAAACACCAACATACTGTATTTTTCGCTCCATAAGACGCACTTTTTTTCGCCCAAAAAAAGGGGGAAAAATATCAGTGCATCTTATGGAGCGAATATGGAGCGGCCGGTCCAGTATTTCTGCCGCCACCATGTCAGAATACCGGGTCGACCGCTCAGCTCTTCTCTCCTGCAGGACCTTACTTGTTCCTCTGTCAAACGCTGTAGTCTTCCCGTGCTGGCTTCTGTGACAGCCGGGTGCCCACTGCGCATGCGCGAGAAGCGCTGCACTTTGTGAATGGTCCGGCGACTTCTGGGACACATGACAGGTCTCAGAAGGCACACAGTGGGCACCCGGCTGTCACAGAAGCCGGCGCGGGAAGAAGCCAGCGTGCCCACACTAAAGAAAGGACAACTTCAGGTACTCGCTCCCCCTCTCCTCCCCAAAGGTCCGCAGTCTCTTGGCCATTCCCCTGTACCGTCTGCATTCTCTGGTCATCTCTACTATGTCTGCAGTCCCTGGTCCATCTGGTCCCCTGTACCGTGTCCGCAGTCTCTGTCCGTACCAGTCCGCAGTCTCTGGTCATCCCCTGTACCGTGTCCGCAGTCCGGTCATCCCCTGTACCGTGTCCGCAGTCTCTGGTCATCCCCTGTACCGTGTCCGCAGTCTCTGGTCATCCCCTCTACTATGTCTGCAGTCTCGGGTCATTCGCTGTACTGTGTCCGCAGTCTCTGGTCATCTCCTGTACTGTGTCTGCAGTCCATTGGTTCAGAATATTTTTTTTTCTTTTTCTTCACCTCTAAAACCCATATTATGGAGCGAAAAATACGGTAATTTACAATCAAGACAAAAATGTGAGACTTTTCATGGTATCCATAATAATTTCAAATTCTACTGCAGGAGCAAAAATGCAGGGTCTTAACAATTTTATCTGATTCTGTAATTTAAAATTAATATTTTTCTTTAAAAAAAAAAAAAACCTTGTAAAATCTGCCTTTTATTAAAGCCCATATAAGCAAAGATTTTGCCTCTTATATGTACTATTCATATACAATAATACATTTCACTATCTCCTACAAAGCAGAAGGTACACAAATTTTTTTTTTTATGTAGGTACAAAAATGTTTATGAATTTTAATTAACTAATTAGACAAGACATGACTTTTAACAATTTATTTGGGGATGTGTGTCACAGAGCAAGGTCTACTTCAGAGAACATTCTAGGGGCTATCAACACCAAATAACCCCAACACTACATCTACTGTACAGGAAATATATAATACATGAAAATAATTTTTTTTAACACCATACCTTGCCCAATGACAACAACCCCCCCCCCCACCTGACCGAACCACTTGTATTGTGAGAATGGGAAACTACATCTACCGGCAGCCTTTGCGGCTGTGGGGTTGTAGTTCTCAACGAACTTCCAAGGTGCGGTTGACCACTTTGGTAGTTCATTGAGGCTTCCTGTCAGTGTGCAACTGACTGCCCGTACAAGGTCTGCAAGAGCCCTGCATAGCATCTACGATCTGCTCCCAATAAAAAAAAAAAAAAAAAGTGCATATTTTTTTTTTTACCTGCAAAAAGATATTAAAAACATTTACTTATTTTGTAAAGGTGAACTTATCATTTAATGACAAATGTGTTCTGTCTATGTTTTGGGAGATGGTTAAATGCATCCCTGTACTATATATGAATATGTAAAAGAAAGGCAAAGGTTTCAATATGTAAGGGCCCATTCATACCTGGTATGGTAAGCTGCATTGATCAATGCAGGCTCACAGAAACAATGTGCCCTGTTCAAACCATATACAGTATGTGTGTTGGTGTGCATTGCCTAAAAGTGCAGGTCTATAATTTTATACAGTGCAATACACATAAACATGTGTCAGTGCAACACAGCACATTTTGTGACACTTCAATAAAGCTTAAAAAGAAAAAAAAGTAACCCTAGATGCATTGTGCATTACACTGCCACCACATAACACACAACACACTGCATGCGCATTTTATAGACCACAAGGCACGCCTGCTGGGGTGAACAAGCCCTTAGACAGGATTCTTTTGTTTTTTTTTTTTTTTTTTAGGAAAAAGACTCATTTTAAAATATTAAATTCAATGTAATGGTGAATACATCTTAATCCTGTCAGACAGTATAAAGATATTATGAATATCCAGAAAGTCCCTCCATTTTGTTTTGGTCATAAATATCCACTTGAAGACCATGCCTTTTCTGGCATTTTTTGTTTACAATTTTAAATCAGTATTTTTTGCTAGAAAATTACTTAGAACCAACAAACATTATGTAATGTAATGCAATATTTTATGTCACAGGGTATTTGCGCAGCAGTTTTTCATACGCACTTAATTTGGAAAAAATGCACTTTAATTTTAATGCAAAAAAACATAATAGATAACCCAATTTGTTTGGTAAAATATAAAATATGATGTTACGCTGAGTAAATAAATACCTAACATGTACAGTTGTGTTCAAAATAATAGCAGTCAGACATCACTAACCTGATCAATCACTGTTTTTGGTAGAAATATTTCTACATGGCAAATAATTTACTAGCAGGTGTAGTAAAGTAATAGAAATCCAACAGACCCAACAGTCATGACATGCCTGCTGCTGATTCTGTGTAATTGAATCACTAATTGAAAGGGGCATGTTCAAAATAATAGCAGTGTGGAGTTCTATTAGTGAGGTCATTCATTCTTTGAAAAAAGGTGGCAATTATTGCCCTTATTTAAGGAAGGAAGGCAGCAAATATTTTACATGCTGGTTACAGTGCATTTCTCTTCTGAAATTCTGAGGAAAATGGGTCGTTCCAGATATTGTTCAGAAGAACAGCGTACTTTGATGAAAAAGTTGATTGGAGAGGGGAAAACATATAAAGAAGTGCAGAAAATGATAGGCTGCTCAGCTAAAATGATCGCAAATACTTTAAAATGGCAACCAAAACCTGAAAGACGTGGAAGAAAGCGAAAAACTACCATTCGAATGGATAGGATAGCCAAAATGGCAAGGACTCAGCCAACGATCAGCTCCAGGAAGATCAAAGAAGGTCTAAAGTTACCTGTGAGTACTGTTACAATTAGAAGACGCCTATGTGAAGCCAAGCTATCTGCAAGAAGCCCCCGCAAAGTCCCACTGTTGAAAAAAAAGACGTGCTGAAGAGGTTACAATTTGCCAAACAGCACATTGACTGGCCTAAAGAGAAATGGCGCAATATTTTGTGGACTGATGAAAGTAAGATTGTTCTTTTTGGGTCTAGTGGCCGGAGACAGTTTGTCAGACGACCCCCAAACACTGAATTCAAGCCACAGTACACTGTGAAGACAGTGAAGCATGGTTGCACAAGCATCATGATATGGGGATGTTTCTCATACTACGGTGTTGGGCCTATTTATCGCATACCAGGGATCATGGATCAGTTTGAATACATCAGAATACTTGAAGAGGTCATGCTGCCTTATGCTGAAGAGGAAATCCCCTTGAAATGGGTGTTCCAACAAGACAACGACCCCAAACACACCAGTAAACGTGCAACATCTTGTTTCCAGACCAACAAGGTTGACGTTATGGAGTGGCCAGCCCAATCCCCGGATCTTAATCCAATAGAAAACTTGTGGGGTGACATCAAAAATGCAGTTTCTGAGGCAAAACCAAGAAATAGAGAAGAACTGTGGAATGTAGTCCAATCATCCTGGGCTGGAATACCTGTTCACAGGTGCCAGAAGTTGGTTGACTCCATGCAACACAGATGTACAGCAGTTCTCAGAAACAGTGCTTATACAACTAAATATTCATTAAGTGATTCAAAGGAAAGCAAAATCTTCAAACATTTTTCAGTTTATATAGTGAATGTTTGAGTTTGTAAAGAAGAATACAAACACTGCTATTTTTTTGAACAGTCTAATATTCACTTTTCTTCAATTTTTTTTAGAGGAACAACACAAATTTGATATATTTTTCTTCATGTTTTGATTTGGAATAGAATGTGTAGTGTTTCCCAATGCAGTTGTGTGTATGGAAATAAAAGCTATTAGAAGGATTTTGAGCTTTATTCACTTTTTTTACACACTGCTATTATTTTGAACACAACTGTATGCACTAATATTGTGCATGCTCCTGGAATGGTGACAAACTAAGATATTTAAAAATCTCCATAGGCGAGGATTTAAAAATGTATACAGGTTACCTTTTTAGAGTTACAGAGGAGGTCTGGTGCTAAATGTATTGCTCTCGCTCTGACATTCGTGGCGATATCCTAACATGTGTGGCTTGAACACCATTTACATATGTGGGCATGGCCTACATATGCATTCACTTATGCGCGCAAGCATGGAGGTATGGGTGCGCTTAAATTTTTTTTTTAAATCACTTTTATTCCTATTACAAGAAATGCACACATCACTTGTAATAGAAATAAGGGATGACAGGTCCTCTTTATGGAGCGATCTGGGTTCAAACGAACTCCTAATCTCTCCTATACCCTTAAAAGCAAAAGATAAAAAAACAAAAATGGCCAAAACTGGAATGGATGTCATGACATCGCTCCAGCCCTTCAAGGCCATAGAGATGATCAGAGATGATCTGGTCTTTGATTGCCTCAATGTCCAGCTGTGCAACCCGTCAGATGGATTTTTGGTCCCGCGGATGAGAACAGTAATCCCAAGAAACACTGCCAAGCGGTGCGGGGGGAGTGGCGAGGGGATGGAAGACGTCCCGTCTTGCAGCTTCTATAAGTGATCCAATGGCTCATTAGCCACTAGGACCACTTTCATGAGAAAGACAGTCACCAGCTGGAAAACCAAAATACCGGGGTTATGACTGATAGCTTCAGCCCTAACCCCGGAAAACCACTTGCTAACCACAATGTATATATATGTATTGTGGTCGGCAAGTGGATATATAGTATCAATAACTCAATGGTATGTGAGTACCTAAAATACTAAGTCAAATTGGGAAACGTCCATCGTAATTTAACTTTCTAAACACCAATGTTTTGTGTATGGATCTTCCTTTCTCCTTCTGTTCATGAAGAAGGGAGACTATGTCAACATTTACCAGATTTACCGGCTTTACTTGACCACTTTAGAGAAACTGTAACACAACAGATAGAAAAGAAGATGTATGTAACCTGCTACTCACAATATTCCATTTGAAAGATGCATGTATATGTTTCAATAAAGAATATAAAATAAGTGTAGCATATCTAAACCCAAAAACAAATTGCAATACATTGTAACTTATCAGTCTTTAGATGTAGTGATTCCATTGGATTTCTTTATTTTTTAGTAAGCTGCAATAATTAATTTTTGTGTTTTTGTGTTTTGATACCTTTAACTATGATGATAACCTGCTTTATGATAGTGTGCATTTTCCCCATACATTTCATGGCCCAAAACCGAGCTCATGGAAACTTACTGAATGGCTGAAGTTGATAAATCAATATAGAACTAAATCCTTTAATCCCAGGATTATGATGTGCTTCAAGACACAGCGGTTTCATCAAAATAAAATGTTTTCAATCAAATGAATTAAAAAAAAAAAGAGAGAACATGCACAGTTGTTCCATCCATCTCATAATTTACTTTCAATACATTGCAAATTGTTTCTACAAATAATGAAACAAAAGAAACAAAATGTTCAAATTGTTCTAAGTTGATCCTATAACTTGCTTTAAAGCAAAGACCCTGTCTTTAAATTTTACAACCCTA